TCAGTAGAACAAACACACGTACTTTAATAGTCAGATAAGCAACACCCACTAGTACACACCTCAACATATATAAGCAAAACAAGTCAGTAGAACAAACACCCACGCGCACCTTGATAGTATCGTCTATGCCACTGCAGGCAATCACCGGCTGTGAGGGGTGGCCTATGATCTGATTGACTACATCCTCATCGCCTTGCAGCCGTTGAGCCAACTCACCCGTGTTTTTGTGCCAGATGTAGACAAAGCCATCGTCACTGCCAGTCATCACGTACTCACTGCCTGTGCACACCACCATGGATGAAGCGAACCGACGGAACAAGGGTAATGTGTCAGTAGAGGAGAAGGGGTGTATTTAGGAGGATATGTGGAGGGCTTGAAACAAGTTTAAACGGTTTAAACGGTTTACACGCGACAAGAGTATTCAGAGGCGGTAACGTAATCCAGTCTGCCAGTACGGTGGCACTGAAACACACGCCACAACCGAGACAACCACACCACAACACAGAGACTACCAGTGGCCATCGACTGTGAAAGGGGACATGCACAGCATTCCAATACACTCGTGAACAGACAGTCCTCTACAGCACGCCTGTGTGCAACGACTACATCGATAGGTCGCTATGCGTAGATAGGTTTCTGCTTTTAAACATATTTTTACCGGTAGATAGATCACTACACGTAGATAAGTTGCTATGTGTGGATAGATCTCTACACGTAGACAAACTATCATACTTGAATAGATCGCTACATGTAGACATATACCTACCTGTAGATAGGTCACTATATGTGCATAGATCTTTACCCGTAGACAGATGACTATATATTGATAGATGTCTGCACGTAGGTAGACCACTGCACGCAGATAGATCTAGACGTAGATTTACCTCTATACGTAGATAGAACACTACACGTAGATAGATCTAGACGTAGACTTACCTCTACACGTAGATAGAACACTACACGTAGATAGATCTCTGCACGTAGATAGAGCACTACACGTAGATAGATCTCTACACGTAGATAGAACACTACACGTAGATAGATCTCTACACGTAGATAAAACACTACACGTAAATAGAACACTACACGTAGATAGATCTACACGTAGACATATATCTAGACGTAGATGGGTCACTGCGTGTATGTCAATCTCTTCCCGTATACGTATCTCTTCACGGGCGCTATACAACCAGACCACGAGACAGTGACCGACGAACCACTGCCAAAGCCCTTGCGCAAGAGATGCGACTCCACACTGCAGTAGATAACACTCAGCCATATGAAATGGACTGAGAGGTGCGTGTGTACGGCATAGGTCTATGCACCACACACTCACCCACTATAACACACTCTCACACTATAACACACTCACACTATTAACACACTCACAGACTATTAACACACTCACAGACTATTAACACACTCACACACTATAACACACTCACACACTATAACACACTCACACTATTATCACACTCACAGACTATTAACACACTCACAGACTATTAACACACTCACAGACTATTAACACACTCACACACTATAACACACTCACACACTATTAACACACTCACACACTATTAACACACTCACACACTATTAACACACTCACACACTATTAACACACTCACGCACTATTAACACACTCACAAACTATAACAAACTCTCACACTATTAACACACTCACACACTATTAACACACTCACGCACTATTAACACACTCACAAACTATTACAAACTCTCACACTATTAACACACTCACACACTATGGGCCACAGGTGAGTGGCTTCATCACGGGGAGTCATAGCTGGGTTCTAGGGTTTTAGTCGGGTGTCGCAAATGGGTGTGGAAAGGACACATCCCGCTTCACTGTAGAACATACAGAGTTGTTGCACACACAAAACACACACGAAAACACATACGTACGCATTCAGGTACACACACACGAAAACACATACATACGCATTCAGGTACACACACGGAAACACATACATACGCATTCAGGTACACACACGAAAACACATACATACGCATTCAGGTACACACACGAAAACACATACATACGCATTCAGGTACACACACGAAAACACATACATACACATTCAGGTACACACGCGCAGTGCCAATGCATGCAAGGAGTACACTCATACCAGGTCCCAAGAAGTTGACGTCCTTGACTGTTTTGATGTTGCAATGGCCTGTGAACTTGCGGATGAATGGGCAGTCGGTCGACTCGCCCTTACCTCCTTCAGAGGATCTGCACATGTGCACAGCAAACTGAATATACGTTATATAAGGGTAACAAAGCCAGCTAACGG